TTTGTCCAATTTTTTTTTTCTAATTGGGGTTTTCTGGAAAGGTTTTTATGAAGCAGCAATGTAAAGCATACTACGAAGAAATGGTCATCGGAAAAAACAAGACTTCCAGTGTTCGAATTCTCATACTTAGTATCCGAACACTAAGGGAAACTATTACATATTAAGGCACTAAAGTATCACGAAGACTGAGTACTGTTAGAACTGGGATCAATATCTTATGTAGACCGGGGACTGCATGATCATCCCCGTAAAAACAAGTTGTACAAGTTAGCCACATGTATTGGCATATTTATTTACTTAAGCAAAGGAATGTTTATGTAAATCAAAGTCCTTTTATTTTATTCTTATTTCTTGTCTGAATGATAAGTTAATTTATTTTTTCGTTTGAAAGTTAGTTAAAACTTCAAATGCTTGGGCCAGAATGAACAGGAGATGTCCTCTTCAAGAGCACCGTAAACATAAGGTCCCTCTCTTATGAAACCCTCATAGTCAAAGGGTAAATTCTGAAAGTGTTAATACCCGAAATCAAAAGCTATCGGATGTGAAAAGAATTTCCGAAGCTTTGCCAATTAAATGAAAAAGAGTATTTTTTGCACAATACTTAAGCAAAAAATTTATTTCATTAACTAAAATTCTAAACTCAATAAAGAAGTTTTGGATTAGTTACAAAAATAAAAAAAAATATACATCAATCGTTTACTAGAGCCCGAAGGGAGAGAAGAGTATTCGTTTTCTTTTTCAGGAGAAGGTTGTTCCGCTTCCGGTTCTAGGCCTTCATCCTTTCAACTTCCTCTTCGGTTCCCGAATACTCAGAGTTAGTATTCGAAGAGTCATAAGTAGCAGGCCGAGCAAGGAGGTTCTCGAGAGCAGTTGTCTCTAATTCACGAGCTTTAGCAATGCAGTCATTGATGTTTGCAATGCCTTATTTGGCCTCCTCCAAATTCTTCCTCTTCGTGTGATATATGGCATAGATTTTCTCGAAGAGGATAGAATCTTTTTGATCTTGGAGTTTCCCAATTTTTGGGTAGAGCTTATCATATTCAGCTTTAACAATGTTGATCCTGGAATCAAGTTCAACATTTGTTGTAACATAAAGTTGATTCTGCTCCATGACCCTTTTTAGCATTTCTTTCATTTTGGATCTCCCCTCTTCGGCAACATTGGCCTCCTCGGTTTTGGAGCGTAAGCTAGCCTCCAAGTTATTAACTTGCTCCATAAAAGCAGACTCGTGCTCGAAAGCAGCAGTCACGGTATCGTGTAGTTCAACCCATTTAGCCTTTGCCTCCTTATGGTCTTCATGTAATTGTGCAGCTTCTTGGCTGTAGGCCATTCTATCTTTGCTTGTATTACTGCAACCGAGCCTCGAGATCATCTATTTGAGCAATTTTTACTTCCAGCACCGGGGGGCGCTAAACAAACTGATTTTGTTTGGCCAAAAGCTGATCTCATTTCGAAGTAAGTTCTTGTTTGTCCAGAATTAATCTTTGCAGGCCCCCGGAAGCAAGAAGGTTAGCCTAAAAAGGTTAAAGCTAAAGTTATTAATGCAAAGTATAAATGAAAAGGGATAGAATAAAGTTAGATTGATACCTGTGCCGAATAGTGCATGCTATTATTTAGCAGATAGTTAGTAGAAAGAGAATCCATCTCTCTCTAGTAGTTTTCCATGGCCAGTGGCTTCAGATAGTTGGCAAGCTCCACCGGCTTAGAAAGTACGTGGCACTCATTTGAGACCGTGAGGATGGCATTTCATTTGCCACTGAGGTTTTGAGTAGGTACCGAAAAAGTGTTCCCTAGATTCCCATGATCGGGTGACTGTGGGGAAGGAACGTTTATAGTTTTTTTAGTTGGGACCGGTGGAGAGGTAGCAGCTGGTGGAGGAGGAGATGCAGTTACAATAGGCTCAAAAGCTAATGGTGGAAGAAGGTCAGGTGGTTGAACTCTTTTGACCGGAAGCAGTAATAGGGATTCGAAAACGAGATGAAGCATTTTTGACCAATCCCATTTCCGTGAAGAGTCCTTGAACTTCTCCCGGTTATGAAGTTTGAAGCTTACCCGACTGAGCATCCAGTTGGGCTGATGAAGATCTTTTTCTTCTAGGAAGTGAAGCCGCTTCATCATCGATTCCTTCATCATCAAGGACCACTGTGGCCGGTCCGGTTGGTGTTTCTTTTATTTTCTTCTCCAGAGTCACAGCCGAAGAGGTACGTTTTCTCTTTGGTTTCTTATCTTTGGGTTGGGGACTCCTGGAGGAGGCGCCTTCACAGGAAGCAAGAGTAGATTCACGAGCTCTCCTCTGGTTAAGGACATTTTGCAGTGCTCGTTGGGCTTCCTCTGGGCCATCGAGAACCTCAACAGTAGGGAAAACAACAGATCCCTTCGGGGGTCCTGTGTGTTGCAAAAAGGAAGTTAATAAATTAATTCTAAGTTATATTAATATATTGAAAGAAAGGAGGAAGAACTTTTGTTTACCATAATTTTTGGCTTTCCACCCAAGTCTGGCGGCCATTTCTTTCCACCTTCGGGATTCTGGTGTAGTAATATCCAAATTTTCTGTACCCATTGGGCCGGGTTCTGAACCCATGGTGGTTCCCAGTGAGTAGCTGAAATAAGGAAAATGCAAAGTAAACAAAGAAGGAAAATCTTTTTAAAGAAAAGATATCCGAAGACTTACGAAAAAAGTTCCAAGATTCAGGAATAGTAGGTATTGTTGCCGGGAGAATGTCTCTGGTAGTAATGACAACAAACCGTTCAATCCATCCACGGTCGTTGTCGTTGTCAACGCTGATAAGGAGGGCATGGTGACCACATTTGTTAAGTTTTAGCACATCCCCACGGAAGATCTTTGGGGAGTAGCGGTTCATCATGTGTGCAAGACTTAGGGTTTTCCAGGTCTCAGAGCACAATTGGTAGAGGCATGATACCATATGACATACTGATGGGCTTGCTTGTGCCAAACAGGTTTGGTACCGGTGGCAAAATTCTAAAATTATTGGGTTGATTCTTTACCCACTCCCAAAGTGAAAGGGTATGTATAAACATACATGAACTATGATTTGGAGAAGGTGACCATTTCTACTTCACTAGGGGTGAAGATTTCAATATTGTCCCATTCACAATCCTCCTTCACGATAGGGATGCTAGAAAGACGAGTGGAATAAGGATACCTACGAACGGGCCAATGTCTATCACTTTTGGGATTAATGGGTTCTTTTTGTTCTTGAAGGTCAGACTGAGTGTTAAGTTGAAGGGGTACGATAGAGTTCACGATAGGAGGTTTAGACTCGACATCAGCCTCTTTTGTTTTATTCTTCTTAAGGCCTCCACCGAAGATAAGGCCAGAGTTTTCGAGGGCAGCGATGTTAGAAGACATGATGATAAGAAATTTGTGAAGAAAAGTTTTACTGAGAAAGTTGAATTTTGCAGTTGAGTTCTTAGGAGATTCAAGGAAGAAAAAGGATTTGTAAAAGTGAAGGGTAAAAAATGAGGGGTAGTGGAGAAGTTTATACGCGGCAAAAATCGTGGTCATGATTACCTCGAAAATAAGCAAATATATTTGCCGAATCATGGAATAACACGTGTTCGGGTCATTAAATATGAAGAGACGTGCGTCCTTTCGAGTGTCAGAAACTGTTCAAAAACATAGCCGCTAAGAAAAGGAGTTCTATCTACTTCCCGGTAATACTAAAATACACCAAAAAGTAGGGAGACTATCTGTATGGGATAAAATTGGTTAGCGATACCTGGACAAATGATGAAATGACACGTGAAACTAAAGACATGTAAGATATGAGTCAGTAAGTAGTTGACACCGGATACAAGCATGTGACTGATGTTAGGTGAATTCCGAAGACAAGGGAACCAATAACAAAGATTTGAAGGGGTGATATCAGATAGCATTCAATGAGCAGCCGTTACAGAGAATATCTGCATTTATAGCCAACCGTTATGCAGCCATCAATGACGGTTTCATTCTTCAATATTCTCATTGAAGAGGAGTTTGATTTGGGGATCTTGTCTCCCTAAATAGAGCTATAAATAAGAGAATTAGTATTCAATATAGGACATGAAACATTCTATACACAAAAGCTAAAATCAGCTCTCATTCTATAACACTATTCTTTTACTTTGTTCTTAAGATGGTTCTCGCTTCTGCTACCGGAGTAGCTAATTCATAGCCAGACTTGTATTTCCTTCAAAGTTTATTTTATAATCTTATTTCTATTCTTATTTATTTTATATTTTTGGATCAAATTAATTTACGAATCACATTACAAATTTAAATGAATCGTTTTACGGGTAAATATTAAATGCACGTAGATTAAGTTTTGCAGGTGAAAAGCAACATTGTGCGGATAAAGACAATGAATATACACAAAATTCTCTCATTTTCAGAAAGACAATACCCAACCACCTGTCATAATTGACCAATCTCCTCGCCTATCTCTCTTTCTCTTTCTCCTCCATTTACTTTTTCTCCAAATCGAAACACACACAGAGGAGAGACAGACACCTCTTCTCGACTAAGGGATTTCTTTTCTTTGGTCGAGCTAGGAGGACCCAAATTAACAAACACAAAGACAATTAATTATGTCGTGCGATAAGATTGATGGCCTGGCGAGGTGGTTCGGGACGAGTGTGGCCTCGGCATTCTTCNCTCCGTCACTGCCATCTTCGCCTCCTTCCTAGCTACCTTATATCTCGCAATGTTCGCTCTCTTCCCCTCCTCGCCAATGCTCCCTACTAACCGCAGGTAAGCCACCTTCTTCGCTTCCACTTTACCTTGGACAATTGCATTCCACCACCAGTCTCCTTTGTGGCCACCGGTGCGGCCCGAAGATATCCCTAACACCTCTCTCGCCGCCTTCCTTATATAGTCCGCCGTCATCGACCACATAGTATTTGCATCCCCACTACTTCTCCAAGCTCCCATTGCCGACAACCTTCCTTCCAACTCCTGAACGAACGAATGAATATACACAAAATTCTCTCAAGAAAGGCAATAGCCAACCACCTGTCATATTTGACCATTCTCCTCGCCTTTCTTCTTCTCTCTCTCCTCCATTTACTTTTTCTCCAAATCGAAACACACAAAGAGGAGAGACAGACACCTCTTCTCAGACTAAGGGATTCTTTTCTTTGGTCGAGTTAGGAGGACCCAAATTGACAATAATCGAATCAAAGACACTTAATTATGTCGTGCGACAAGATTGATGGGCTCGCGAGGTGGTTCGGGACGAGTGTTGCTTCGGCATTCTTTGCCTCGTTGGAGCGATGCGCGTGCGTCAATCTCACCACCTACGCATCTGATGATGAGGAAGAGGAAGAAGCTAAAGATCGCCCCTTGTTTATGAACAATTTGCCTTCTCATGTTGATCCTTGTCCTCACTCTAACATTTCTGCCTCCTCCGTCGATAATTGACTCTCCTCTCCTCTCCTGGTATATAATTTTCATTTATCCTTTTTTGAATAATTGTACGAGCATTAATTTTGATCTGTTGCCTTTATGGAAATTATACAATCTGTTTGGATGTATGTTTTCGGTGGCGGATGTAGAGTGTAGTTTCTGGTTCACGGCAACCACTAACTTTTGCGGAGACCTGTATTTTTATTAAAAAATCCATTAAATATCTATAAATGTATAACTGTGGACTCATTTATTATTGTATATTAATTTGAGATTACAATATGAACCTATAAACTTTAAATCCTGGATCCGACTATTTTTCGCTTCTGAATATCAAATTTAGTGTCTGTCCTTTTTTAAAAAAAAAATTAATTAATCAGACAACTAAATTAGTTTATAAATCCTATATATCCATTGCTGTCTACGCCTTTGTTTAGCTGGAATGTTTCAAATGATTTGTCGGGCTCAGCAAGTTCTCTCTAGCTAGCTACTGCAAGGGTAGGAAGAGATCTAGTATATTGCACGCAACCTTCACCTTGCATTTCTGAGAATGCTGTTTCCATATCTCGAAGCTGTGATCTATAAGAGTAACTCTACTATTGCGCCAAAGCTCGCTGTCTACTTATTAGCTTTAGGAAAATTAACTACTCCATATCATATTGACTGTTTATTGTATGATCATTTGTAAACAGCTACATTCATGGCATTTTGCACTAGCAGTGATTCTCAAGTTCCAGATGCTAATACAGTTGTTTGCTTGGTCTTCTTCTGCCAGATGGATGGCCTTTAGGGGTTCTAAATGGATAGGAAAAAGCTTATTTACTTAATCAACTGAAAACCTTTTTTTGTTTTTTGTTTTTATAAAGAACTTAATCAACTAATGGTGAATGATAGGTTTTATTTTGCATTCTAGCAGAAAAATGGTTTAAGGAACAAATGAAGAGAATGGAGTTATTGGATTAATGGACTTGTGGTTCTAAGTGCATCTATAGAGGAGCTATCTCTCATAGTTGGTTGGACACTGGATCTGTTAAATAGAACAAAGATTTCTTTGAAAACTAACTTGGGCTGTTAGAGAATTGGCATGGCAGGCTTGTTTCATTCTTAGTGCCATATTGCTAATGCTTCCTGGTGTGCATAAAAGGAAAAAAAGATTTGTTATTTACTTCCAAATGTTTCCTTTAGGAACTCCATTGTAGCACAGGGAGTTTGCACAATGTATCGTAAAAGAATCCGATTCACATAGATAATAGCGATTTATCATCAGATTTCTTTGTTTAAATATAAGATCATCTGTTGTAGTTGGACACCATCTTTTGTTACCCTGTTTATCACAGTACTTGGATGGCTTCCGACGACAATTACCCAGGATTTATGATCTCAGAAAAAACTGAGTTGACTAGGATACTGTAATTGTTTACTCTTGCAAAGGAAGTTGCCCCTGGATCTCTGGAGGGATTAAATTTCAACTTTTATGATTGGTTGGTTAGATTGTGCCTGTTAGAGGAGCATTTGAAAACCATAAGTCTCAAAGGGTGTGTTTGGTATGAAGGAAAACATTTTCCGGAAAATGTTTTCCAATTTTCCCATGTTTGATTGGATTAAATGTTTTGAAAAACATTTTCCTTATGAACTCAGGAGGAAAACGTTTTCCCTATCAAAAGAAGGGAAAACATTTCCCAAAACTATTTTTCAACCTTCTCCACCCTATTCCTCATCTCCACCAACCCACC